TTGTTTTGAAGTACGAATTCACTCAAGGTCAAAGTGGCTTAGTAACCACATTAAAACCTATTGTCGAACATTGGTCTTACCCTCAGTTCGCAAAGGCAGTCCTTGACAACTACAACAAATTCTTCTCCGAAGTCAAATCGAAAGTTGTGGTTTACTATGAGAACATTGACGCACTCATGACGAACGAAGAAGGGTACAACAAACTCATTGAAATGGGTTTAGTCGGTGAGAAGATGGGTCAATTCAAATTGGACAAAATTTTCACCGAAGTTCATGTCCTCTCCAAGCGTAAGTACTGGGGCATACTTGAAGACGGCACAGAAATAAAACATTGCATGAAATAAAAAATTTTTATTCGAATTTGAATTAAAATGTGGGAATTCTTGGGAACGGGAAAGGCTTATTTACTTGAGGAACAGGTAAAGGTGGTGGAGGTGGAGGTGGTGGCAAACCAGTCCATTTTATATTCCTTCCTAGCTAATTTCCGTTTAATTTCATGGTCGCCTCGGAGTCTTTGAATCGGACAGGTCGAGTTACACCATTCTTGGTCTCAAACTCATATATAACCTGTTTGTCTGTATTTTCATCGACTATGGCACGAGACACAAACATTGACCAAACGGACAAAAAGTGTCATTTCGGATGGTCACGCAGCCAATCGCATTCGAGCACTTCGAAGAAGCCTTACGTTCCAAGGGAGAGGGTGTCTGGTGCAAGGCAGAGGTCATGAAAACTCTACGAGCAGTACATCCTCAATGCCTGGGAGGACAAATCGTCCTTGGATTGGCAATTCTACCAACTCCTCTGGGACGACCTCCTACGCAACTGGGATAACGAAAGAGTCCAATTCAAAGGTCGGGAACTAATTTTGCAAATTACCCTTAATTTAACATACTTATCCAAATAAACACCTAAATTTACTTGGGGTTTCCCCCTAAAATAAAATTTTTTTTACTCTTAGAACACTCGAGGTTCTCCTTACGGTTGTTGAGCTTGTCACCGTCAATGTGTCTGACCTTCGTCTTCTTGCCTGGATTTGGAACCCATTGAATTGCGACAAGCTTGCCCATGGAGATTGAACCGCGATTCCGAAGGTTAAGGTTCAAGTGTCCCAAGTTGTTGAGGACTGGGGTAAGAACCTTGCCTGTCGCCTTGTTGCGGATTTGGTATGGGTAGGGTTGGGAAATTTCGTAACCGTCATCGGCAACAAGGGTTGCCCATGTAGCGGCTTCAGGAACTTCTTCGTGTTTCTCTTCTTCCTCTTCTTCCTCTTCTTCCTCTTCTTCCTCGACAATTCCTTCTTCAATTTGGTACTCACGAAGTACGGTGTTGCATGTTCTGTCCTTTCCGAGTACCTTCCAGATGGCGTCTATCTCTTCGAAGAAACGGTAGATGAGTCTGGCAAGGTCTCGGTTTTCTCTCTCGTAATTGCGCAAGGTTTCCGTGAAATCGTTCAGGCATTTCTCATTGGAAGCTTGGTTCATGAGGACATCGGCTTTGAGATTGGTCATCTCTGTCATAAGACTACTTTGGAGAGTCTTAATGGTGTTTGTCAGATGAGCTTTCAATTGGGCAATTTGAATTTGAACTGGGCGCTTGTCTGGCAACCTTGAAAGGACATCTGCATTGAGTTTCGGCTTCGGTGCTTGTTCGGACATCGAAAAATGAAGTGGTTTGAGAATGGCGGTTTTACTTCAAAAAGCTTGTTATGACAGTTATGTCATACAACAAGTTTAAAATAATATCTTGTTCTTCTTCTGAACGTTTGTTGTCTCTTCCGATAAAAGTTTCGAACATGAGAACCAAAAAACGTTTTTTGAGATTGCGGAAGAGTTCAGGCAAACGTTCATATTCTGGATATGTTGGGAGCAGTTCAAAACATCTGAGCTGACTTTCGGACAAAATTGGGACAATGTCAGAAAATTCATCTTTGGTCGGACTGCTTGAAGGTAAGTCCCTTACATGTAAGTAGCTCTGGTAAAGTCTTCTCATCTCTGCTAACTTCTGGAGTATAGCTTCGTAGTTTAGAAGTTTTAATTTTAATTGTCTTATTCCACTCTTGACATCTAAACGGTAACTATCCATGAGGTCAAGAGTAGCTTTGGTAGCTTTAAGTGGAGCTATCTGTTCCTTGACTCTGCAATTTTGGTTGCAATTGTGATTTGAGCTCCTTCAAGTTCGCCGTCTATGTCGTTCTCAACGTCTTCAAGCATGGCTTGAAACTCTTCATCGGTCCATTGAGATTGGTGTGGGACGAATTTAACTTGCTTCATTCAAAAAATGAAAAAAAATGTTTTTACTCAAAACGTTAAGGTTGACTGAACTGGTTGGATGTCGCCTTCACAGGTTATGTAGAACGGCTGACCCGAGAAGTGAAGGAGAGACTGAATTGCCAATTTCATATGGGGTAGGGGGTTCTCCTTGTTTGGTATTTTTATCCAAGGACGTTTGTTTAGGAACTTAACAAGAGTTTCTCTTTTGGCGTCCTTTATGTCGTCGAAAGGAGTTTTTTCTGGTATTTGAATTGGAATTCCAGTCGAAGTCTCGAGATTCAAGGCAGCCCTTCCAGAAATAGCGGTGAACTTGACCTTGGGCTTCATTACCCTGCGCAAGTACTGCTTAACAACTTCATTTATCTCTATAAGGTAAATTGCCTCGTCAAATCCTTCTGGTATTCCGAGTCCTTCCATCCGACAGGAAAATATTTTCCCGACAACTGGAAAAAATTTTCCGGACAAAGGGAAAAAATTTTCCCGACGACAGGAAGAACTCTTCCAGTTGTCCGTCCGTAAACCATTCAAATTTTCGAAAATTGAGAACTTTTTGGTCGAACTTCAGAAAAAGTTTTTCCTTCCGACAGAAAAAGTTTTTTCTTCCGACAGAAAAAGTTTTTTCTTCCGACAGAAAAAGTTTTTTCTTCCGACAGAAAAATATTTTCCATCCCACAGGACACAAACGAATGTCCGACGTCCCACCAACCGAGTCCATTCCCAAACCAGAGGAACCTAAAGCACCAGCCCCTGCACCTCAGTTCCAGCAAGTACCTCCGATTTACTACCAATTTCCACCTCAAGGTTACTACCCACCACAAGGCTTCCCGAACTACCCTCCTCAGCCTATGCCTTACTTCCCCAACCCTTGGATGTTCCAGCAAGCTCCACCCCAGCAATTCCAATTCCAATCTCAATCGAAGAGAGACCAAGAGTTCGAAGAAGGTCTGAACCGCTTACGCAAAGATTATGCCACAGCCCCTATGGAAGACGACAGGCTTTCAGTCTCTTCCCTCAAATCGACCGATTCGACTCGTACCACAGATTCGGTTCGTGACCGTGAAGACTACCTCAAGCAGTCTGAGAGACTCTTCATCCTACAACCATTTACAGTTGGAGCTCTCAAGAACATGCGCAATTACGAAGGTCAGACACCAGCTGGAGACCGCAAAACAGACGTACTCGCAAGAGCCGTCCAGCTCGTCAAAACAAAGACTGAGATAGTCGACTTCATTCTTGCAGCTTGCCCATACAAGTAAAAAAATAAACAATTACGAGTTAAACTTTTTATTCTTTCTTTTCTGAGTTGTTTAGAGCTGGTTTCTCTTGTAGGAACCTTTCGTACTCTTCCCTGGTCATGTAATTGCGAATTTGTACGCAATTCCAGGTTCGTTGTTTTTGAACCTTACGTATGTAACGCTTCCATCCTCCTCAGGGAAGTAAGCTGCTAACATCTGACCAAGTTTTCTCGGTGACTCGGAGCTCATTAAAAATGTCACTTTTTAAACGTTAAGTTTTTAGTCTTATTTTACCCTTTGTTTGTCAAGGTAGTATTGGAGCGCAATTTCTCCAAATTCTCTGTGTCGGAGTTCTTCAGCATTTTCCAAGGTGTACCTGGAGAACTCAAAGAAGTTGTCAAGAAGATACTGCCATGCTGCTCTTCTGAGTTCGTCGGTATTTTGGAAGTGTTGCACCTTCGAGTCTTCGGACATGAAAAAAAATGACACTTTTTCATTTTATAACTGTTATTTTTGACGAAGTGCAAATCTTCACTTCGTGTCATAATGTAAAAATAACGCTATTTTTTTATAAAATTTGACGAAGTGCAAATCTTCACTTCGTGTCATAATGTAAAAATAACGCTATTTTTTTATAAAATTTGACGAAGTGCAAATCTTCACTTCGTGTCATAATGTAAAAATAACGCTAATTTTTTATAAAATTTGACGAAGTGCAAATCTTCACTGGGGTAGAAAAGAGGTGAGAAAACAGGTTAGATCTAACCTTCTACCCTAAACATTATTTTTGCTGAAAAATGACCAAATTTCATGAATTTCCTCATATGCTTGCTTCCCTCGGAAAACCGAGAGAAGAGATTCCGTACGAAAACAGTGAAGAACAGCGAGTAAGTAAAAAAACCCAGTCGCCTAAAACTCATGAAAATCGTGAAAAATAACAGAGTATTTTGACAACTTCAAACAAGTAGGGTAGATGACACTTTTTCTATTAAACCGTTTTGGCATTTCTCATGAGTGAGTATAGTTCTGCCGAACCATTGGAAGAGAAGAAGTACCCTTGCTGGCAAAAGACAAAAATAGTTGCCTTGGTTGTCATTGCAATTGTACTCGTAATTGAATTCATTGTACTTCTCTTCACGTACCTAAAACTCAAGGACGGCATATGCTTTAAGAAGCTACCATCTTACTAAGACTAAACACTTACATTTTTCAAGCTTGACTTTTTACAATTTGAACTTTGTTTGCGTAGATATGAATTCTGAAAGAAGTATGAGGGTCTTGTATGACTTTGTACTTCTCCCATAGTTCATATCTGTCAAACTTACCTGCCATGGACTCTTTCATAAGTTCCATGAAATCGTCTTCGGACAATCCGGGGAAAAGTATAATGTCAGTAAGTATTCTTTTAACATCCTTACTTAAACTCTTTGCTGTCTGTACACAAATGACAACTGAGATGTTAAAGTGTCTGAGCTTCTTAAGAATTCGACACATATCTTGTTCTCTATTCTTAAGCAAAGGATGAGAAGCAAAGTCATCTAAGATAAGAAGACATCTATGAGGGTAAGTCTTCCAATCGTACGATTGCAATTTCTTCGAAATGTATTCTATCTCTTTCTGTTTGTTTCTGAAGTGTTTCTTCTCTAATATTCTCTGCATTTCCTCATTTGGGTCTTTAAACTTAGAATTTATATACTCATTTATAGCATTATACTTCAAAACTCTTCTTTGGTACTTCTTTATCCAATCTAACAACTCAGTATCCTTTATACATACTAACTTAGACTTCTTTATAATATCTTTGAACGAATTGACGGTTTGGTCAAATTGACCAGAAGTACTACAAATGACAACTAACTCATAGAATGGGTTCTTCTCATCTAGTTCTTGTTGTTGTGCAGCCATTTTAAGATAAGTGAAAGTCTTACCCGACCCAGGTGGTGCGATTAGACCTGTTATACCATTCTGAGCAAATAAGAACTTGTCATGTATAGGTTTTATCTGAGCATTTTCTAACTTCCTCTTGTTCTTGTTTAAAACATTCTCAAATTTCTTGTCAATGTCAGCAAACTTTTTTTCTAACATATTTTTAGAAAAATTAAAATTTTTATCTTTTAGAAAATGTCTAGCGATTTCGCTATCTATATTCGAGACAAGCTTTTCGACAGCAAAACATCTGTCGACCATAAAATCTTACATAGTGTAAACAAGAAAGGGGAATTTGTTCTAAAGTTCTGTTTCTGGGAATATGACAAGAACCATAAAACATTAAGCAGAGAAGTCTTAAAATTTGTCAATGACAGACTTGTTGACAGAGATGACGCCTCTTGGAGAGATGAAGTCCAACAAAACTTCTTAGAATGCAAAGAAGACACATGCGCTGTTCTTGAAGATGAAATAAAAACAGAATAGATGAGCTATTAAAGGACAAAGAACTTTTACATAAATATGGTTGCGCCAAATTTGACATAACTCCACCAGAAAAGAAGAAGAGAGAAAAGAAAGAAAAGAAAGTAGAAGAAGAGAAGAAAGAACCTGAACCAGTTCCAGAGAAAAAGAAATTTGACATGTAAAAATAAAATTTTATTTTTAGAACATTTCTGGGTCAATGTCAATGTTCTCTTCCTCTTTAGGGGCAAACACTGGCTTAGACTCTAAAATCTTTTTACCCAATTTACCTTGAACTTCAACTATCTTAGACTCATAATATTCATAGTCGTCTGCTTTCTTTGGTTCATAAGGTATAACAAGTTTGTATGCTTTGCCTTCTTTAAGGTTTGAGAACCTTCTGTCAAAATTTTCTTTGACTGTCAACATACCTTCTATGTCTAAGTCTTCAAATTTCGCACCATTTTTAGTCACAATAGCAAACTTAACTGGTTCGATGTTCCAAACTTTGCTGAATGAAGACTTTTCAAAATGGTAGAAGTAAACATTCAAATATGTGAATGGGTCTAGTTCTTCTTTAAGTCCTGACATGTACTTGTTTACTGAGATGAATTTCGTCATCTTTTCTATCGGATAAAAAAAAATATTTTTTTTAAAATTTACTCATAAAAATTTTTCTTTGTATATACACCATTCTGTACGTCTAAAAGACTTTTGACATTTGCCAAGAATGTTCGTTTAGACGCTGTCATATAACCATATTCTTGACAATATTGTTTATACGAATCGTACAATGACCTTTCATCTAAACACTCAAAGTCAGTTTCATCTATGAACAGTTCATATACACTCTTGTTTGCTTCTAACAATGTTTGTCTCTCTTCGGTATGTGGAATTTGTCTTGGATTGAACTTTGAAATATCTAATGTCATAAAATATGAGAACAAGTGGTTGTAAAAGTCAGATGTCAAAGTTTCTGCTAAGTCGTCAAAATATTCTGTATCTTGCATATGAGAATCTGACGTTCTGACAACTACATATCTTCTGTCAGAACTTTCTAACTTCATCGGAACAGCATTGTTTGAAACCATAATGAAGTTTGCAACATTTTCACAAACTCTTTGGTCTTTATATTTTCTTTCAACAACTCCAACTTTATCTGTTATAAGACTCTTCAAAGCATCTGAGTTCAAAACTTTTGTTGTATCTATACTTTGAAGTTCATTGCAAACTATAAGTTTCATATTCTCTATTGAGGAGTTAAACTTGCCACAGATGTTTTCTAAGTTTGTCATATTCGGATTCGAATAGCCTTCTAACAGTTTGCACAAAATATCTGTAAAGAATGTGTTCTTACCAGTTCCTTGTTTTCCAATTATAATGAGAGCAGTTTCATTTTTAGCACTTGGATGTTGTAAGATGTTTGCAAACCAACATAAGATATACTCATAAACCTTTTCGTTTCCATTGCATATAATTTCTTTGACATGGTCTAACCAAGCTTCTATAATATTTTCTTTCCATTCTACTTGTTCATATTTATATCCAGTGAAGATAGAATAGAAGTTTGGAGAAGGTGTATAGAACTTTATACCTCGAACTGAAAAATCTTCTAACTTTGACAATAAGATATCCCAAGCATCTAACATCTTCATGCCAACTTGTACAACTTTTATTTTCTTAAGTTTCTGTCTACATTCTTGTTCAGACACTATTGTTGCTCTTGGTTTGTTAAAGACAACATCCCATTCTTTCATGACATAACATTCTGGGGCAGAGTCAACATAAATGACTAAACGTTTCAAATTCTCGACTGCTTTGTTATAGTCTCTAAATGGACACATATTTCTGAATGCTTGGAAGTCATAAAAATCTGAAACATCTATTCTGTACATTTTTATAAAAATAAAAAAAATATTATTTTTTTATTCTTGACTTTGTTGTTCCATTTGTTGCATTTGTTTGTTCTTGAGCTATTTGTTGTTGAAGTTGTTCTTGTAATACAATACTTTCACCAGTTGCATCTTCCAATTCGAAACTTTCTGCCGTCATTGACAAATACATAGGACATAAAAGTTTTACAGGAACAAAGTTTGCGTCAACTAATGTCAACGTTATACTTGCCAAAGTGTTTGAGTTCACTAAGGTTGAAAATTCTGCATTCGAATGAACAATAGGCAAACCAGCAGAGAAAGTATTGTTTATACGCATAAGTATCTTTTGGTCATAATAGTTTCTGTCAACATTCGAATAACACTTTGAACCTAAGTTTGAAACAATATATAAGATTGGTGTGCTTAAAGTCAATGGAATAGACATTCCTTGTATGACACCATTTCCTGTTATAGGAAACTGTTGGTAGTAAAAACCAGATATAAGTTTTGTATTATAGCTCATATTGTTTATAGTAAACTCAGTCGGACATCCAAACATAACGAAACCTGCTCTAGTTGCAGCACATGTTACACCCGTCCTTAAAGTATTAAATAAGTCAACAAAACCTGTTGGTGGTATATCTGAGTAAGTATCTTCAAAGGAGTATTTTTTACCATTCACAACAATAAAGTCTTCTGGTGTCAAAAGAGCAAAACAGGCTTTAGTCGTCATTGTGTTTAAGGTTAGTTTACAATATCGTCCTTGAGGACTTTGTAAGTTTGTTGTTATAGAATTATATGACTCAGGGTTTTTAGTCGTAATAGTATAAACCATTATATCTTCTGCCATTTATATATATTTAAAAGTTTTTCTGAAAGTGGAGAAGAACTTCATCTAAACTTTCACATGGCGTTTCTTGAAGTTCTCTGTCTAAGAAGTTCAAATATTTTGTAAAGACATAGAACTTTCCTTTGTCTACACGAACAAACAAAACAGGGTCTTTCATATCGTTCAAAAGTGTGTAAAGTCCTTTATATGAAATAAAGTCTATATTATTTTTCTTCAAACATCTTTCAAGAAGTTTTGACATTTTTACTTAGCAAATAAATTTTAATGAAATGTTGTGGTCGTCAAATATTTTTATGACGTCTGGGAAACTATACTTTAAGTTCAACGTTTCACCTCCTTTCATAACGTATATCTTGTCAATGACATTATATGAAACACCACAGCAACTAATGTCGGGTTCTATTTCTTTGATGTTTATATCGTCTGCCTCTGTCAAAAGTTTCAATAGTTCTTTCAAAACTTCATGAGGTGCAATGACATATGAGTTCACTTTTACAGGGTTGTGTTCGACCAAGTTTAACATTATACCTAAAGCTTGACAAATCTTCTCCTGAGTTTGAAGTTTGTCTTTCAGTTGTTGGTAGTCGTTTCGAATATCTGCAACAGAACTTAAGTCTCTGCTAACTTCAGGATATGTTGGTTCTTTTACAGGAACAATTGTTATACCATCTTCGTCTTCGTATGGTTTCCCCACTTCAACATCGCTGTCTTTGACATTGACAACAACACTTTGACTGTTTGTTTGAGTTGGTGAATTTAACTTCACATCTGCCACCGCCATTAAACCTTTTGAAACACTCACGCTTCTATTTTTCGGAAATGACATTTTACTTAGAATAAAAAGATGGACGTATTCGAGTATCTCTTCGAATTGAAGCAGAACAAAGTTTACACACACAAACAATACAAATACATTGACAGAATAGTTCTTTATACAAACAATGGTAAATGTTATAGAATAGCAGTCTTTGCTGAACCAAAATATTTCCATAAAGCAAAGAAAGTTGGTATAACTGAAATGGTGAAAGTTCTTGACGTTGACAAAAATATAACAACAAAACTTACAGATATTTCTAAAGGTAAGTTTATCTTACAATATTATGTCAAAACTGGCGTACTGTCAATATTTGACGGAGAGAAGTCAGTTCAAGAACAACTTACTGACCTGCTGCCAAAATCTGCTCGATGGAAGCTGTCGTTATGCCAATCTGAGGAGCCCCAGCAGGTTTCATCGAACGAATCTTCAAAAGAGCATCTTCCGTGAAAAGTGCTATTGGTTTTGTAAACTTCTTTGCTTTCAATTCATCTGGACCGTCTCTGTCACCAGTATATTGTATTTGAACTGTACCAACAGTTGAAATACCACCCATAAAGTCTTCTGAGTCAGCAAATGGAATGCCAAGCCAAAAGTTTGAACGGTCTCCATTTGTATATTGAGTTTTTTGACCTCCTGTATGAGTCCATACTTTCACATATGGCATAATAGAACTTTGCATTTCAGGGTTAATGGTTGTTGTGAATTGTTGTTAAAGTTCATAGCATCTAATGTCAAGTTGTATGACCTCATATCCTCAACTGTAGAATATTCTTCTCTTGGATAATATTTGCCATCTATGTTTATATGATATTTAATACCGGGGTTGTAGAAACAAGAATAGTCATTTATAGTTCGTCTGAACAGTACAAACATAGTATCTGCATGTTTCATTGCAGTTGTTAAAGCAATATCTGTTCTTGCACCTGGGTCAGCACTTTGGTTTCCAACTTCACCTGCAAAGTCTTTGACAGATATTTGGTGTATAGGGAACATAAGTGGAACTGCAATATATTTGGCAGCTAAAGCATTTGAAATATCTGGGTCCAACATATAGACTGCAAGTCTGCTTTCTATTCTCTTGCATTCAAATTTTTCGCATGTGAACTTAACTGGGTCCCAAGCAGTTCCAGCAGCATTGAAATAATAGTTTACTTCATTGTTGAAGTTTGAGAAACCAAAGTCTAAGTCAACTTTGTCTTTGCAAAAGTCACAGAACTTGGCTCCACCAGTTCCAGCTACAGTAATGCTGAATGGGTCTTGTGTTGGTGCAATGACTAAGTTATTTTTGCTTGGAGTAAGTTCGATAGAAATTTTTCCTGCCCAGTTTGGCAAGTATCTTAAAAACCTGAAGATGAGGAAAGATGACAAAGGAACTCTAAGTTTCAGTTTTACTTTAGTGGCAGCAGTTCCATCTGAACCAGAAAGGTTAACATAAACTCCTGGAACGTTAGGGTCAAGTCTTCTTATTTTCTCAATAGTTGCATACTGGTCTGTTTGTTCTCTAGCTTGTGGTTGTACTGAGTTTCTCAAAGCGAACCATTCATAGTTTGCCCATGTTACTGTTTGAACTAAGTCAGAGTTAGAATATATCTTATATCCCATGAAAACTTCTGGAGCATATTGGTATCCGACATAGAAAATTCCATTGCAACCTTTCTTGTCAGACAACTTGGCAGAAGGTTTTATTTCAATGTCTTGTTCCACGTATAAGAATGAGTTGTCAATAGAAATAATATGAAACCTGTCGCAAGCAATATCTACTGTTGTTGAAGAACCTTCTCCAAACTCACCTACGTTTCCATAAGAAACAGCAGTTGTATATTCGTAAGTTCCAGGAACTATTTCTGACCTTCTAATGGCATTGTCACATTCGTTATACCATTCGGAAACATTTCCGTTCATGGCATCCAAAACTGTTGGCGTTATATTCTGAGCGGCGTACATTTCATATGGGTAAAAATATAGAATAGTTGGATTTATATATCATAATAGAACCCACTCGTACCAAGCTTTACTTTCTTCCTGACTGAGTTTTTAACTCTTCTTTTTCCTTCATTGCCACTACTTTCACTAGATGAAGTTACTTCTTCACTATTTTCACTTTGTTCTACTCTTCTTCTTTGGTGTCGCTTTTGGTAACTTGCCCTCTGCTTCAAGTTGTTGCATCTTTGCCTCATGTTCACCTAGTATGTTGTAAATTTCCCATGTCCTTTTTGCCTTTGGCTCTGGTCGCCCATCTCAGGTAACCTATATCCTAGAAAGATTTTGTCATAGTTTGTATTTGAGTCTTCGCGTATTGTTTGCATGACTCTTTCCTGAGTTTCCGGTTCAAGCTCTTCAAACAGAGCTTGTCCATATGGAATAAGCTCGTTTCCAAATATATGTTTTTGTAGCCATTCTGGTTTTCTTTCCATGTTACCAATAATATCTTTTGTGAATGGGAAAGCTTTTACCCAATGTTTCAGTCTTGCGTCATTTATTTCTGTAGTTGGTTTTATTTTGTCAAGGAACATGTTTTTCAATACTAACATTTCATTTGGTACTGTCCATTTGAGTTTTCTTAAATATTCATCCCTTCTCGGTTCATTGTCTGCAAAGTAAGTTTTTATGACATTTTGTAAACTTTCGTTTGCAAGGTCATGTACAATAGGTTCTCTTCCTTCTCTCCCTAACTTTCTTTCTAAACTCTTCACCAAATATACCATCTCTATGGTTCTGTGTAGTTCTTTGAGATAAATGTTCTAGAACGTCAGGTGTTATATTTCCATCAGCCATGTTCATTTCATACTGGTCCAAAATATCTGCATCTTTCATATCTTTCAATGGCATTAAAGCCGCGCTGAAAATACCAGCTACATCTGGTTCACCATTCACTTCCATTGCGTCTACAACTTCTTGGAATTGTGGTTGTAAGTTTATGAACCACCTATCCGGATTAGCTTTATGACCCCATCTCATTGTAGTTCCATCGTCTGCAGAAACAAAAGTAGGTTTGTTTCCATATTGGCTAGGTTCTGAATGAACTTTAAACAATGTTTCATTTCTATATGTTTTGTTGAAATTTAACCTTTTATTTTCACCGAGTTCATCCAAAGATTGAACGTTATATGCTCGTAAGTAAAAAGGATTGTTGTATTTGTGTACATTATCTTTCAGTACTTCCATTCTATGCTGGATATTTTCATCTGATGTTGGAGTCTTTTGTATGTCGGCGAACATTTTTCGATATTCTTCTACTATGTCAGCTGAATTTTTCTTAGACTCTTGGAAAGATTCCATATTCTCTGCATACTCTTGTTGAGGGTCAAGATTTTTCGGCTGTTCCAAATCTTCATCTAGTTCTGTGAAGTTAGTTTCCAAAGGAGGGACTTGTTCGTTTCCTTCTGGCTCTTCTAGCTGTTGTTGCTGAACTATTTCTTCCATGTCTGGTTGTATCTGAACTTCTTCCTGTGGAGTTTCTTGTACCTCATCTGCTGGCATTTCATATATTCCGAGACCGTTTTTAACAAGTTCCCTATCTAAGTCATCCGGACTCATAAACCTTTCTTCTTTCGTTCCGTCTCTATTTTTTACGCGTTTCATGAAGAGAGTTGAATTATCATTTAGCTCTGACACCAAATATCTCGGAGTAAATTCATCCATGTCATTTGGATGATATGGTATTAAATCATATCCCTTAGCGAGCTTGTATTTTCCAGGTTTGAAATTATATCCCATTTGGTGCTGAACCATAAAGCTAAATAGGTTCGGGTCAGTATTTCCTTCCTTGAACTTTCTAATAGCTTCTATATATCTGTCACTAAAGTCAAGAGTATCTGGGTAACCATAATTTTCCTTAAGCATTTTTAAGAATTCTTGGTTTCCTTGTTCTCTACTTCTTTTATGTCCTTGCTCTGTTTGTGGTTGTTGCTGTGCAGTGTTTTGAACTGTTGGTTGTGGTGCAGTGTTTTGAACTGTTGGTTGTGGTGCAGTGTTTTGAACTGTTGGTTGTTGTGCTGGATTTTGAACTGTTGGTTGTTGTGTTGGTTGTTGTGTTGGTTTTGGTGCATGCCTGTGTCTGTGTCCATGTGACGATGTAAATGTTTTAGGTAGTCCTGGTGCAGGTGCTTCTCTTGGAGGGTTTGGTGGTATATAAGTTCCACTAGCTAGTATATAAGTTCCACCAGCTGGTATATAAGTTCCACCAGCTGGCACATATGTTCCATCTGCAGCATAATGTCCTACCTGACTTTTCGTTTTTAAGAAAGCATTTACTAGGTCTGTTTTGGTCTGTTGTAACTCTTTTTCTTGACTTTCCACAACAGTTGCTCTAACGGCGTCATAGGCACTTTGAACTGCTTGTCTCGTTGCTGCATCTGTTATTTTCGTCATATTTTGTGCTACTTCTCTTAACTCTTTGTCGAAACCTTCAGACTTCAGTTTCTTTCCAGATGAGAAGTCGTTCACTAGTTTCACCTTACTATGAAGAGCTTCGAAGGCGTTCTTAAAGTCGGCATTCATTAAAGCTTCATTTGAACTGTCTTCATCCGCTTGTATTTTTGTCCTTATTGACCCTATAAGTTGGGCTGCTTTAGCGTTGGCTTGGGCATCTAACCAGTCATTATTAGCTTTTATATATTCTGCACTTTTCATTGCCTTTTGCATGGCTGCGTCGTTATTTTTACTTTCTTGTGCTAAGTTTTCATACTGTACGGTTTGGTTTTGCAACTGTAAAAGTTTTTCTGCCTTTACATTTGCTTCAACTTCTTTTTATACTCATCGCTATCCATATATGTCTTCAGGGCTTTTTGTTTTATTTCTTCATCTTTCAGTACTTTATATTGAGTAGTATGGTTTTTCAAATTTATAACATCTTGTTCCATTTTTGCTACTTCTGCTGCTTTTTCTGACACTTTTTTCGCATATTCCTCTGTACTTAGTTCTTTCAGTTGTTCTTCTTTCTTCTTTTTCTCTACGTTTAACTCATTGAGTTTCTTTGTGTGTCTGTCATATTCTAGTTTCTTTTCGTTTTCACTTATTTGTTTCTGTATGTCTATGTTTGACTTTTTGACATCTGTTATTTGATTTTTGAGTGAACTCAAATTCATTTGACTTTGAGGGTTATAAGCTGTTCCGTCTGCAGCTCCACCATAGCCTGCCATTTTCGCTAAAGTGCCGCTCTTAAACCTCCACTTTGTGCACCAATAACTCGGTTTAAAAGCATAGGGTTGCTTGACATTTGTTGCAACATAGTGGGGTCATTCATCATTTGTTGTTGCAACTGTTGTTGTGGTGTTAGTTTTACTATTGGATGTTTCAATGCTCTCTTCCTCTTACGTATATTCTTACGTAGCTTACGTGGCATTTTAAGTGAAGTTAAAAAGTGGTTTTTGACAGATGGTTATATGACACTTTTTGTTCAGCACAAAAAACTACTCGGTCAAAGTGTTGTCAGTTTTGTAAAATAACGGTCCTATCTTGTTTTAAAATGGAGAAAAGGCTTCTCAAAGTATACTTCCTTGGAACGCCTGTAACTTTTCCTGTAGCGACGATAGACCCTTACTTGTCCGGACAAAGTTATACTAAACTTTTTATGGGCTAGAGGGCACGAAGTGCCTGGAAGGCCATCCCAAGAAAAAAAAAAACTTCATTATACTAAACATCTTCAGGGCTAGAGGGCACGAAGTGCCTGGAGGCCCCACTACCTTTTTTTTTTTTTTTTTTTTTTTCATTCAATTATAAAAAGGTTAAACAATAACCTATTATTATTTTACCATTTTTGTAAATCGAATATTGCAGATTACTCTGTTTGCGATATTTGGCCAAAATTTAAATATTTATTGGAAATTACTAATGAATAAAAGTATTTATTCAATTTCAGTTTAAATTTCAATATTTTATAACCTAGAACACGTCTGCAATTTCTACTCGATTACATGATCTCAGGAATATCAAATACGAATTGTAAACTATCTCTCAACTCGTATAATGGAATCATTCTATTTTAACAACTGGTCACAAAATCAAACTTAAGGATCCAAAATTAAGTGATGATAAAGAATGACATCTTCGGACTAGACAACTATCTCATTTATACTTTCAGAATAATATTATTGTATGTGAAAATACATAAAATTAGTTTGATCAATGACCAAATTTCGTATCACTTCCAAGATCAAAAGTAGGTTTTATGAATTGAGCAAAATCTGTATTAACTACAGACTTCATTTATAAGAATGAATTTTTGTTTTATTTCATTGAATACTATAGAATATATTGAATGAATTCTCTCAATAAATAAAATGGATGAATCAACACGTTTAAAGATTCAAGCATCAACAGAGAAGCTTAGGTTAGACTTAGCAAAGCTTGATAACTTGAATATTAATGGAACTCAAGTCGATGAAGGCTTATATCATGAAATTTATAATCATTTCTTTTCGTTACAACTTGATTCGAAAGAGAAAATGCTGACAAACATTGCATTATGGGCTGATAAATATACTAGAAACTATAAGAACTTTGATTCTGATATGCTTAAGCGAATTCGAGAATTTAATAACGTTCATCTTGATAATACCAGATCAGAATTACTTGATATGACAAGAAGAATCGAGTCATGGGGCTATAATCTTAAACAAGCTACAATAAGTCTTGAACAAATGTCGGAAAAATTTCATGAATTAACAGAAAAGATACTTCCAGTGCAATCACAATCAAAAATTCATCAAAATATCGTGACAAAACCAATAGACTCTGCCGTTACTTATAAATCCAATGACATTAACGATGAAGTTTTGAAAATGTTCGAAGAAAGACAAATGTTATTATCAAACATTGTCGACCAATTAGATCAGGAGATGACAGAAACCAAAACGATGCTAGAAATAGCAGTAGCTAACGAAGCAAAAACTGCAAAAGAATTAAATGATACTATAGAAGAGTATAATCAATCAATGAACATCAAGAACATGGAGTTGGAAGAGCTTAAAAATACAAAATCATTACTTGAAACTATGATTGAAGCCGAAAAACAAAGAAATTTGGAAATAAATCAAAAATTAGAATCTTTTATGAAGAAAAAGTCATTTCAAAATGATAATTCAGACTCATCAGTACCAACACCTTCAACAAGTCCTCGGCTATTCAAGTCTGAAAGAGGATTACCTCATTTTAAACCACAAGCTCCTGCATCACCCATAAAACTATCAGAGCAGAGCAATGTTACATCACAGCCTTTCTTTAATGTTCAAGGATTGAAAAGTAAAACGAAAAATTCAAATTTGGAAGCACAATTAACGCAATATTATGAAATATTACCAATAAATGAAGAAAATATACAACAGGCTTCTGATATTCGTGGGAATAATCCAACAAATAGCAAAATAATTTCGAAACCCCCTCCAATTCCAAAGAAACCAGCTGCAACAACAATAAATCAAGTTGTCAATGATACTAAAAACCAAATTACAACTTCCAATCCTCAAAATATCGTTGAAAACGAGCAAATAATTTCAAATAAGGAAAAGCAGGTCATTCAGAACGCCGAACAGACTATTTCCGATCATACTACAACTGAGAATGTTAGTAGTCCAATAGAAGCGACAAATATTCTTAATAATCAGAATGACACTTCAAATCCGCCAGAAATTGATCATAAAATCACAGAAAAATCAGTAGCTGCAACAAGTGATGACCAAAAATCGACAAAACTACCAGAAATGAAATATGTTATCGAAATATCTCAAGAATTTTCATATCAAAACGAAGAAAAAGAGGAAAGAGTTGAAGATAATGATAAAGAGAATAGACCTACAACCTCTAGTTCACTTCCACATGAAAAAGTTCTTAATCAAGAGAACAAATCAGAAGAAAATCAAGAAAGTATCGTAGTCGAAGAACCAAAGATCTTTAACTCACAAAAATTTGATTTTCCTGTTAGAACAAGGGAATTAAATGGATTGACAGATGAAATACCGGATATAACTCAACAAGTAGAGCCAGTGATAGCATTTAATGACGGAAATATCCGTGTTCAAAAGAAATTACCTGAATTTACGCTGATTTCTAAGTTAATTTTCCATCATAAAATTGAAAAAACTGAAATTCCAAAAACTTACAAATTTTCAAAAGAATATAATCTTATTGCTTCATGTGAACCTCTCAGAACAAAGTCTTTCCTTAATATTACAGCTCAATCTGTAGTTTATGAAAATAATCCACAATTTAGGAAGAAGTTAATCAATGAAACTACCTCTTACTTTGAGAATAAGTCATCTCCAGTTCTCCTGAACCTTTCCAAGTCGATTGGAGAAAACATTATCACTCAAAATACTCAAATTTCGAATGTCCAAGTATTTGAGCCATTCGGAGATGCATCACAAGTACCAAGATCTCCAAGGTCTTCCAGGAGATCAAGTAAAAGGTCGAATCAGTCAGATTTTGAATATCGGCCTTATTCTGTTGATGAAGACATAGAAAGAATTAGATCTACTCGTACAATATTAGCCAAAGATGTTGTTACTTACGATCCTGTTATACAAGACACAGAAAGATTCAGAGAATTAAATAAAGAATTTGCTGCGATGTGTGATGAGAAATCCTGGCGAAAGAATTTGGGATTGACAACACCATTGACGCCTTCGACACGTGGAACAATAATGAAACAGAAGAGAGTCCAAATTAAAAAAATTGAAGAGACAAAATTCGCAAATTATTAATATTTTTTGTTTTATTGTTAAAATTGCGATTATTTATTAACATATATTAAATCTTTTTTCCACAAAAAATTTAATTTCAGATTTATAAAATAGTTTTCTGTTTAGATTCAAACTGCTATTGATTGTTAAAATGATTAATTAATAAAATAATAAACTTTATTTACAAATAAAAATAAATATTAAGCTTTCATGATAACTATTACTATAACAGCTACTATTATAGCAAGTAAAACAAATGGTAAGAATAAAGATGGCTTTGGCCTCTTTGAGTCTAACTTCTTTTCATTAGTCTCATCTTTCTTTTCTTCTTTACTTTCGGATTCTTTTCCATCGTCATTCTTTTCTTCCGATTTCTCTTCATCTTTATTCCCTTTCTTTTCAGTTTCATCTTCAATTTTTCCTTCTTCATCATTCTTCTTATCTGTATTTTCTTCCTTGTTTTCGTCATCATTCTTCTTTTCAGTTTCACCTTCAATTTTTCCTTCTTCAAGATTATTTTCTTCAGCAACTTTATCAGAATTATTTTCTTCCTTGTTTTCGGCATCGTTGTTCTTTTCTTTTTGATTGTCAACGGCTTCTTCGTTGACGATCTTTTCTTCATCTAATTTGTTTTCGTTTTCTTTCTCAGCTTTTCCTTCTTCAGAAATTGTTGCATCTTTATATTCATCTTCTTTGTCTTCAGGTCCATTTTCTCTATCAGAAGTCTTTTCTTCTGTTTGTTCATTCTTCTTTTCTCCTTGATTTTCAATTGCTTCTTCGCTGAAAATCTTTTCTTCATTTTCTTTCTCTGTAGCATTTTCATCCTTCTTTTCTGATTCATTACCTTTCTCATGATCTAATTTATTTTCCTCATCAGAATGCTCTTTGTTTTCATTCTTTGATTCCTTGTTATCTTCTTCCTTGTTTTGAGATTCATCTCCAACTTTTCCTACTTCATTATTGTTTTCTGCGACTTCTTTGTCTGATTTGTTTTCAGTTTCTTTCTTATCTTCCTTGTTTTCATTTGCATCATTTTCGGATACTTTTTTTTTCTTTTTCAATTCTTCTTTCCTCAGAATTTTCTTTGACACCATTCTTTTCTTCTGTTTGATCGTTAGATTTGTTTTCTTCTTGACCATCAACTTCTTCGTTGACGATCTTTTCTCCATTTTCATTCTCTCCAATCACTGAATCAGAATTTTCTAAATCGATGTCTCTTGAAACTACTTTGTATCTGTTTCATTTGGTGTTTCTGATTCTTGTTCATTTTGTTCTGATGGCTTTTCTTTGTTTTCTTTTTGTTCATTTTCACCTTTTTGAGATTTAAATTCTGTTTCATTTGGCGTTTCTTTCTCTGAAACAATTTCTTCTTCTTTTTCGGATTGCTTAGACTCATCATTAGAAGATATTTCATTTTCTTTGTTTTCTTCCTTTGAAGATGACATATTTGGAGTAATTTCATCTTTGTCTCTGACAGATTCTTGAGATTGTTTTTCTTCTGAATTATTTTGTTCATTAGATGGTTTTCCTTCATTTTCTCTTGATTTATCTTCTTCATTAGTTGAGGAATTATTAGTTTCTGGCTGTTTGATTTCTGATCCATCTTCGTTAGTTGAGCTGTTTTCTGGAGAAGCTCCTACGTTTTCTGGTTTAACTTCATTTTGCTTTTCAGAATCTGGTTCTTTAGTCTCATTTTCATTTGAAGATGTGATTTTGGTTTCTGATGGTGTTTCTTCAGAATTGTTTTCATCTTTAATTGAATTGTCTTCATTAAGATTCTCTAATTTGGCATTTTGATTTTCTTCTGAATTCTCGTTGGATTCTTTTTCATTTACTGCTGGTGTATTTGATAAATTAGATTCGTTGTTGTCAGAAGGTGTTTCTTTTTCTTCGGTTGAAGATGTAGATGAATTTACTTCTCCTGGAGCATTCTTAACTTGTTGTGGCTTTTCTTCGGAATTTTCAGATTTGATTTGGTTTTCGTCTTCTTTATCTGAAGGTTTAATGTCGTTTGTATCGTGTTGCTTCATTTCTGGTTCGTTTTCTGCTGCTTTTTCATTTGAAGGATTGATTTCACTATCATCATTTTCTTTTTCAGCTGATGGTTTCTCTGATAATGTCTCATTTGATTTCTCACTTTCTAAAGCAAGATCTTTCTTGTTATCATTTCCACCCTGCTCATTTGATGATTTGTTTTCATTTTCACAAGGTGTTTCTTTCTCGTCATTCTTTCCAACATCATTAGTTGAAACTTCGCGGTCTTTGTTTTGAGCATTGATTTGTTCGGAATTGTTTTCAGGAGAATCTGTAATAAGTTCTTCTTTATTATCTTTCTCTTGTGGAGTTTCTTCAGTACTTTCATTTGGAGTTTCATTAGAAGTTTGGTTTTGATCTTCTTCATTATCTTTTTGTTCTATAGTTTCTGGGATTTCTTGTGGATCGGATCTTTGAGCTGAAGTTGGATTTTCATTATTATCATTTCCATTTTCATTAGATTTATCAGTTACTTCTTTAGAAGATTTTCCGATTTCTTCTTCTGCTTCAGTAGGGATTTCGTTGTTTTCATTTGGATTTTCAGAATTAACTTCAGAGTCAACTGATTCATCTTTATCCGGAACATTTGATTCTTTCTGAGGCTTCTCATCAGAATTTGAAGATTTGTCTTCATTTGTTTGCTTGTCATTTGAAGGCGTTTCTTCTGATAATGGTTCTGAAACAAGATCTTTCTCTTCATCATTTCCCAGATTGTTTTCGATTTCATCTTGTTCAGAGTTATTTGATGGAGTATTTTCTTTTTCTTCAGTATGTTCATCACTATTTTCTTGAAGAGATTTTTCTGTACTTTCATTTGGAGATGATTTCTCTTCTGTTATTTCTCCTTTAGAATTATCTGATTGCGCGTTTTCAATTGAAGATTTGTTGTCATGAGGAAGATTTTCATCATATTGTTTGATTTCTTCGTTTGGATTCTCTGATCTAACTTGATTTTCATTTGGTGTTTCTTGTTCTGAAACAATGTTTTCATTATTTTCTTTATCATTTTGTTCTGAAGGAGCTGCTTTTTCTCCAATTGAATGAACTTCATCTGGAACGTTTCCTTCTTGCTGAGACTTCTCATTTTGTTTTTCTTTGTTTGCAGAATCTTCCTTTGCTTCAGTTCCTTCTAATGAATTATTTTCATTTTGTTTATCGTTTGAAGGATTTGATTCGTTTTCATTCTCATAAGATGTATTATTTTCTTTTGGTTCTTCATTTAGATTCTCGGATTTAACTTCGGCTTCATTTGGTGTTTCTCTTTCTAAAACAACTTCTTCCATATTACCTTTATCATTTTCAGTTTGCTCGGGTGATATTTCTTTATTATTGTTTTGATGATTTTCTGTGGCTTCTGTTGTAGAACCAACTTTCTTTGCTGTCACTGGAATATTTTCTTCGTTTTCATTTTCATCATTTGAATTCTCTGGAGCGGCTTGTGAGGATTCTTCATTCAACGAATCATTATTATTTTCTTGTTCTTCAATTGAATTTTCTGATTTAACAACTTTTTCATTTTCTGCTTCTTTTTCTTTTTCGAGTTGCTGTTCATTATCTTCTTTTTGAGGAACAGTATTAGGAATTTCTTGTCGTTGATCTTCATCAGACTTCTTATCATTTGGACGTTGTTCATTAGATTCAACAACATTGTCTTCTGGATTTTCTTTTTCATTTGGTGTTTCTGATTCTTGTTCATTTTGTTCTGATGGTTTTTTTTCGTTTTCATTTTGTTGAGATTTATTTTGTTCATTTTCTTCTTTTTGAGATTTAACTTCTTTTTCATTTGGTGTTTCTTGTTCTGAAACAAGTTCTTCTTCATTTTCTTTATCATTTGGTTTGCTTGATTGATTAGACTCATCGTTAGAAAATTCTTCTTTTTCACCGTCTGTTTGAGACTTATTTTCTTCATTTGAATTGATATCTTCTGGGAAGGATTTTCTTCATTTGTTTCTTCCTGTTTCATTTCTGATTTATTTTCTGCCTGATTTTCATTTGAAGGATTTACATCATTCATTTCTCTTTCATTTGATGTATTTACTTCATTTGATTCTCTTTCTTTTGATGGATTTTCTGATAATGTTTCATTTGGTTTCTTATTCTGTGAATCAAGATCTTTCTTTTCATCATTATCTTTCTGTTCACTTGATGATTGATCTTAATTAGTTATTCCTTCTTTCTCTTGTTCAGTGTTATTTGATGGAGTGTTTTCTTTTTCAGTAATAAGTTCATCCTTATTATCGTTTTGTTGTTGAGCCATTTCATCAGAGACATGTTCATTTTCTTGAAGAGCTTCATTTGTATATGATTTTCCTTCATTTGCTTTTTCAGTTATATTAACTGATTCCTTTTCTTCTTCATTTGGAATTGAATCAAGATCTTTATTTCCATTCTCTGTATTTAATTTATCTTCATTAGAAACATCAGAATGTTCTTCTTTTTGTTGGACCTCTTCTGATTTTTCGTCATTTGAAGAATTGACAACAATTTCATTTGGTGTTACTACTTCATTAATAAGTTCATTATTGAGATCTTCAGAAGATTTACCTTCATTTCCTTTTTTTTCATTATCTTTCTGTTTTTCTTCAGAATCATTAATTTGATGATCTTTGTTTTCATTATCCTGAGAATTAATTTGTTCTGGAGAACCTTTACATGAAGAATTATCTTCATTAATTTCTTCATTCGGATTCTCCAGTTTAGTTTCTTGTTGCTTCATATCTGAATCCGTTTGCTTTTCATTCGAAGGATTTGATTCATTCTTCGAACTACTTTGTTGAGGGAGATTTTCAAAGTTTTCATTTTCTTGTGATGAATTTTGTGAAACATCTTCATTTTGTTTTTCTTGTTCTGAGGTAGTTTCTTCCTTATTTTGAGGAACATTGGTTGATGTTTCATTTTGTTGAACAGATTGAGTTTCATTCTTGTCATCTTCATGTTCATTTGAAGAGTTATCTCCAACTTGATTCTCTTTTCCGTTTTCTGCAATTAGTTCTTCCTTATTCTTGATTTCAGCTGTTTCTTTATCATGTGGATTCTTCTCGAATTTCTCGATTTCTGAATTTGGTGAAACAGTTTCTCCATTTGGAGATGCATCTTTTGAAGATTTCTCTTCTGGTGTTTCCTTATTAGAATTTTCTGTTGATTCATCTTCTTTCTTTTCATTTGAAGATTGAATTTGATCATCAGATTTTTCTCTCTCTTCAATTGAAGCCCTATCATTCTGATCTTTTGTTTCTGGAGTTTCTTGTTGAATTGCTTTATTATTTGCTGATTTTCCGATTTCTTCATCTTTCACCTGAGAAAGATTTTCTTTGTTTTCATTCTCATTTGATGAATTTCCTTCATTTGGAGATTCATTTTCATTTGATTTAACATTATATGAAGCGAACTCTTGTGAAATGGAACCTTCTGTATGTTTATTATCAAATGCTTTTTCTTCATTTTCTTCGCTTTTATTCTCTGATTTGACATCATTTTCAATTGGTGTTTCTTTTTCTGCAACAAGATCTTTTCTATCATCTTCATTTGGTGATTTATCTTGTTGTTCATTGTGATTACTCACAGCATCACCTGATTTTTCTTCATCTAGTATAACTTCATTTGGTTGATGATTTGCAGACTGATCTTGATTATCTGCAGGATTTTCAATTTCATTATTTTCGCTTTCCTTTGGTTTGTTTCCATTATGATTATTTTGATTATCAAAGTTAGTATTTTCTTTTTCTTTATCTTGAGAAGTCTTCCTATTTTCTGAATTTGGTGAAACAGTTTCTTCTTTAGATAAATTCTCTTTTTGTGCATGATTTTCATTTGGATTTTCTTGATTTTGTAAAGCTGTTTCTTCTTTATTTTGTTGATCAACTGGCGATTTTTCTGCTTCTCCATCCATTTTTTGCGAAGGATTTTGATTGTTTTCGCCATCATTTGTTGATTTAATTTCATCTGAAGTTTCTTTCTCTGGAGCAACTTTTTCATTTTCTTGAGAGAGATTATCCGAATTTTCCTTCTGTTTAATACTTTCTTTATTTGGATTTTCTGATTTAACTTCGGTTTCATTAGGTGTTTCTTTTTCATTAATAAGTTCTTCCTTATTAATTTTATCAGAAGTTGTATTTTTATCATTTGATGGAATAATATCAATTTCATCATCATTATCAACCCCATCATTATTGTCTAATTCATTTGGTTCCAAGTCAATATCTCTTGATCTAATACTCTCTTGTTTAGATGAATTAACATTCTGCAAATCAGAAGGAGATTCTTTTTCATCAACAACTTCATTCTTGTCTTGAGGGAAAACAAATACAACATGTTCTAGAGATCTGTTTTGATCTTCTTCAGCAGAATCAAAGTCAAGATTTACTTCTCTTGATCTGATACTTGATGCTTTTTCTGGTTCATTATGTGCTTTATTCTTTGATTTATATGGTCTTTCCATTAATGACGAATCAGAAGAATCAGTTTGATCCTTGAAACTATCTGACATAGATAAATCAGAGCCATGATTGGATTTCATTGATTTTTCAATGACATCTGTATTACTTTCTGATGCTTCTGTTGAGAATTCATCATAATCAGATTCATTGTTATCAATCTTGCGTTTAAGCAAATCTTTTGTTTTATTTGCTTTGAAATTATCGCAAAACATCAAACAATTTGCTCCTTTCGAGTTTTGTGCCATTGGATCTGCTCCGTTATCAAGTAATACCTTTGCAACTTTATAAGAATCGAACTTGCAACAAACAATCAAAGGAGTGTTATCCAAATTATCTCTTTCATCTACAATACAGCCGTTTTCAACCAAAACTTTTGTTACTTTATCAGCATTTGAAGCTGCACAAGCTAATAAAGGTGTTGCTCCTTTTTCATCTTTAGAGTTCATATCACAACCTTTGTTAATAACGAGTTTAGCAACTTTTGGAGAGTTAAATTTGCAGCAATTGAATAAAACTGGTTTCAATTCAGCAACTTTTTGGCTTTCAAGCAATAATTCGGAAACTTTTTCTGAATCATATTGCGAGCAAACCATCAATGGTTGCAATTGTTTGTCTTCTGAATTTATATTAGTTTTTGCACCATTTTCTAAAATTAATTTTGCAACATCATATGAGTCAAATTTGCAACAAAACAATAAACTATTGTAATTATATAAATTAACGGATTCAAGATCAGCTTTTCCTTCGATAAGAGTTTTTGCAACATCGATTGTATCAAACTTGGAACAAACCATTAATGGAGTAACTCCAAATTTGTCACTTTTGTTTACATCACAATTGTTTTCGACCAAAACTTTTGCGACATCATTTGAGTTAAATTTTGCTGAAAACATCATTGCTGAAGCACCTTCTTCATTTGAAGAATTGACATCTGCGCCTTTAGAAAGAAGATATGCTGCTGTTTGAGCCGAATTAGAAACAGCAGAGAAAATTAAAGGAGTAAATCCATTATTATCTTTTTCTTCGAGTTTTGCTCCATTTTCTACTAATTCTTCCATAACTTCTAAAGAGTTGTATTTGGAACAGACCATTAATGGACTGACACCGAACTTATCAGTTCCTTTCTATAAGGACTTTTGCAACATTTTTAGAATTAAATTTTGCGCAATACATCATAGAAGTTGCACCTTTTTCATTTTTGTCATTTACTTTACAACCGCTTTGGATTAGCATTGATGCAATTTCTCCTGAATCAGAATAAGCAGCGCACATGAGAGGGTTAACGCCATTGTTGTTTTTGATATTGACATAAGCACCATTTATCACAAGTAGTTTTGCAACTTTTTGAGAATTAAATTTTGCACAAATCATCAAAGGAGTATTTCCATATTTATCTTTTGCTTCGAGATTTGCACCTTTTTCAATTAAGATTTTTGCGCATTCATTGTTATTTGTCAATGCGCAATGCATTAATGCTGTTGCACCTCTTGTATCTTTCTGTTCAAGATCAGCACCATTTTCTGCCAAAAGTGAAGTAATTTTTGGAGAATTAAATTTGCAAGAAACCATTAAAGGTGTCATTTTGTAGACATCTGATGTGTTTATGTCTACTTTGTTAGCTAAAAGTAGTTTTGCAACATCAACTGAATTAAATTTGCAGCAAAACATCAAACAATTAAAACCAAAATTGTTTGCAGCATTGACATCACTTCCATTTTGAATTAAAAACTTTGCGACATCATAAGAATTGTATTTTGAACAGATCATTAAAGGACTCAAATAATATTTATCCTTTGATTCGATGTTTGCGCCTTTGTCTACAAGTATTTTTGCAACTTCAATCGAGTTGAACTTGCTGCAAAACATCAAAGAAGTTCCTCCTCTTTCGTTCTTTTCATCGACATCAATTTTCTCTTTTAATAAGGTGTTTGTGACATTTGTCGAATTGATAATTGATGAATACATTAATGCACTGTGATCATCATTTGTTCTGTCATCAACATTAGCTCCTAAAGTCTTAAGTTTAGTGACAATTTTCGGTAAACAAAGATAACTTGAAGAAATTAAAGCTGTGTAACCAAAATTGTCTTTTTCATTGACGTTATTAAGAGAATTGATCTTGCTAATAAGCATTTCGATATTAAATGTTTGGCAGCAAGACTTGAAACTGTAGTTTATGTCTTTGTATTTTTTAATTCTCTCATTTTGATGGGTAATTACAAGATTGTCAATGCAATATTGGTTAGCTTTGTAGATTTTAGAGAGCTCATCTGTGATTTCTTCGTTTCTGCTTAAAAAGCTTTCGTAAAAGGTCTCATAATTATGTTTTGCATTATTTTGTAATAAAAATTTGAAGATTTTGACCGCGCCATAGCGTGCAGCGTAGTTGATATATGTCGATCCATTTATTTCTGAATTAATTTGATTCATGTCAAAATTTAATTGAAAATTTTCAATGTCATCATTGAAAATTAAATTGAGAATGGAAGGTTCGGGGTAGATTTTGTAGATTTCTTCAATGGTATCGTCTTTATATGCTTCTAGAATTCAACAGCAATTGTATTTCTTGTGAATTATCGCGCTTAATGGGCTTTTTGGCGCGAATAATGTACGAGTTAAAAATACTGTAAAAATCTGGTAAAGCCTGACAAAAAGCTCTGTATAGCGTTTGATATGATGTAAATTGTAATTGCTGATTGAATCTATCATTGAAAATAGCAAATTCGGTGTTAAATTATACTCAATCCTGCAGTTTTTGACTTTATCAACGATATCATCGGTAGGAAAATCTTCAATATGGAATATCTCATAGATCATTTGACGGATTGGCTCATATTCGTCAATATCTATGCTTAAATACATAAAAATTTGTTACTTCAAAGTCACTTTCCCGATATAAAATTTTGCTATTGCTCAATGTAAGACTGTGTGGTTTCTATTATAAAAGAATCCATTTTCGTAAAGCGTGTCAAAGGCCTCATAAGTCATATATTATTGCTTGGAAAAATATAACCGATCTTTTAATTTAGATTGATACTGGCCATTATTTCGTTATGTTCATTCTTGTAGCAAGTGGATTCATTGTGAATTCACAGCGAAGCTATTAATTCATTTTCTTCAATATTGAACGTATTTTTTTACCAGATAGATCATTGAACGAGGGTAATAATTAACAAATCATGCTCAATACTTATGAGTATTTCATGATATAAGTAAGTTTAAGTTACATTCGAAATTTTTTTGAACTCCATTTGCTATCACGATTGATTTTCAAGTGCATTTTCTATGTTCACTTGAAGTATTAGCGAACTACAAAGTTATTATATCGAAATAGTCAAAAAAAATTCATTTTCAATTTTCATAGAAGTTTAACAACTTTTTACAAACAATACTATATTAAAGATCCTGTATAATAATATTATCTAAAGGCTTGGTCTTATATTCGAATGCACATGTTTTCATATATATTTTTGTCGGATCGCGCAAGATTAGTTAAGAATGTGATGGAGCTCTAAATTTCCTAGGACTTCTTAAAGATCTTGCTGAAGTGGGTTCCTTCTTTTCGCCAAATGTATATGTTGAAGCTAAATTCTCATTGTTTTTGGGTATCCGCTTTCTCTTATGATTATTCTTTGGCGTTTTTGGAGGTTCGACTATATTTTCAGATATACTTGTGAAGCTGGAATTACTAGAAGTGAAAAGCGTGGGCATTTCTTTCATAAGTCGTTCGTGATATGTAAGTGCAAAAGAAGGGATTTGGGATTTATAGTGTTTTGGTTTAACTGGAAAGCTATCATCGAAATGTTTAGGACTAAGAATTTGTTCTCTATTATCTTCATCATTCCTAAGTCTAGAAAGGCTATAGCATGATCGTGCAAATCTTTCTAAACTTTCTCTTTGCTCCAAATTGAAATTTGATAAACAGAATGGCTGTGGTTCAATCCTTCGTACTTTAATATGAGGTTCTGGTCTGTACTTATTGCTGTTGTATCGAAGGTTATCTCTTGGGAGATTCGATCCATATTGAAACTGCATATTGTTGATTCAAAAGTGACTTATGAAATTTGTACGTTTGGCAAAACGATAGGTCATCTTTCAAATTTTTACAAAGCTTTTCAATCGAAAAGATTATAAATTACTAATCCTGATGATTACAGTAATATTCAAATAATAAGCGTAAAAAGATGACAAAAAATTCAATGTGCAGGTGGATAGACAGAATTTTATCTGAAAATATTATTTCATTGTTTTCAAGAAACACAAAAAGAAAATCAAAAATTTACGAAAAAAAATTTCCGAGAACCTTTTCCGATCAAAACTTCATACAATTTAAATGGGACCTTCAAATGAATTGGACTTGTGTTTTCATTTATTGTCATACTCAAAAATCGTAAAATTATTGTAGAAACTGCATTTGGATATATTTTGATTAGGAGATATGATAAAAGCTTATACAATATTTTGCACTGCATCTGAATATATTTGAAATACACAAGTGCATTTTTATAATATCAATATGAAATATAATTATCGGGCTGGGAAAGTTTTTAAGAATTCTAAGCTATTAAATTGTTTTGACAAGCCCGTGTGAGAATATGTATTGTAATTTATGCATATATTTTTACTGATTGTTTAATACACAGTCTGTGATTATGAATGGCAAAGCAGAAACGTTATGCTAAATGTCTTTTAATATCATTTAATCTGTGGATTTCTGAAATACATATGCTCTGAATTAAAAACAATAATATTGCGAGTTTATTCAAACAAAACATATAAGATGGGAGGAGAAATGCTAAGTCTTGTACTTACTCATTCAATTCATGGAATTTGCAAGATCAATCTTATAGAAAACGATCAAAATTGATTAAATATGAAGAAGAGTTAATGTGTTATTCTTAGATCTTGATCGAGAAATTGTTAAACTTCCTAAAAGGCTCGATCTTGGCTTCATAATGCTAGCTGCTTGCTTAAGCCTTGAATCCGATAAATGCAACTGTAATGAACTTATCTCCTTTCTATTAAGTAAAGGACACTTGCTTATCTCACTGAGGAGTTCAGCTACTGTATGCCTTAAATGAGGTTGTGGTATAATTGACATTCGTAACACCTGATCCAAATTTCCATCGATAATTTCAGGAAATGTATTCTGACCAATCCCATATTGTACAAATTTAACCCATTCCATCGAATTCGAAAATGGGAATTTTTGAAAGATTATAAAATAAAGAGTAATGCCAAGTGACCATACATCTGCTTTATATGCATTGTAAGGTCTCTTGTCGAAAATTTCTGGTGCCATATAAAACTTTGTACCTGAGCATGATTTTGAATAGCCAAAAGTATTGTCTGAGAGTCCAAAGTCTGCAAGTTTGATAGTGCCATTCTTATCGACAAGAATATTTGATGGTTTTATATCTCTATGGCTGATATTTTGACTATGTAAGTAATAAAGAGCAGAAATGATTTGATAGCAAAATGAAGCGATTTGCTCTTGGGAGCAATTGTGGGTTTTCATATAATTGATAATATCTCCTTCGCAACAATCTTCAAGGATTAAGTAAAATTTGTCGTTTTCATCGAATTGTTCATACAATTTAATGATGTTTGGATGATTTAGCATAACAAGTGTCTGTAATTCATTTGAAAATGAACCAAATTGACTTAAAATTTTGCAAACGCATGTTTGATTTGTTGTTTCATGGTAAACTCTGTAAACAGAACCGAAGCCTCCTTTACCTATGTGTTCTTTTATGACATATCCACGTTTCGCTAGAACTTCCGATGCTTCTTTGAAAGTGGAATCCTCTATCATAAATAAATGGTATTATTCGTTTCAAATTTTTCTGAAAGACTGAATTGAAAAGGAACTCCAATAAACTATCATTGCATTTTGCAGACATTTCTTACATGATTTTATGCAATTACATTTTTCTATCAACTGCATTGAATTTTTTGAGCTTTTCTTTGAATGAATTAGGAATTGTATTATTATTTGCTTTCTTATTTGCAATTAAATAAATGTCTTGCTATTCAGAAACGGTTTTTTTTACTGTGATGTTTATAAATCTCAAAATCGAATTATAATAGCATTAATGACTAAATGAATGTTAAAATAATTTCAATTCTATCGTCTAATTTACATGAATTTGAAATCGAAATAATCTTATAACAATGCTCATTTAATATCGGCATGATGTATTTTTCATTTTTGGTGAGCAATCATGATTACTTAATTCAGATGCGAAATGATTTCGTTGAAGATAATCTATTTCGAGAAAATTTCTAATATATTATAGATATGATAACTAAATGAAATTGATTTACATTAGTTAAATATAAAATTTGTAGAATTTTTTCGATTCAATATAAATATAAATATTTTTCAATCAAATATTTGGATTAAAAAAAAAAAAAAAAAAAAGGCAGTGGGGCTTCCAGGCACTTCGTGCCCTCTAGCCCTGATGTTGATGTTTAGTATAAATGAAGTTTTTATTCGGAGGACTCTTCTTCTTCCTCCATTGCTTCTGGGAAGAAGCCTTCTTCTGGGTCGAAAACATTATATAATGTGTCGCTTTTCACAAATTATATATGTTTTCATGTTTTGTCACTTTTCTGTCACTTTTCAGGGAAAAACATTTTTATTATTATATATAAATGAATTTTACAAAACCACCGTTACCGTTCTTTGGAAATAAGAGTAAATGTAAAGATATTATATTGAGAGAACTTAAGAAACTACCGAATGGTCTAACATTTGTAGATTTGTTCGGTGGAAGTTTCTATATATCCCATTTGTGCCATATAATATTCCCAGACTCAAAGATTATATGCAATGACTTCGACAACTATATGGACCGTCTCAAACATATTCCAGACACTAACAAAATATTGAAAGAGTTAAAAGAAAAGATACCTATAGGTAAGATGGAACGTATACCATTAGATAAGAAAAATATTGTGAGAGAGGTTTTGAAAAAAGCAGAATATATAGACTGGGATAGTATATCTGCTAGACTATTATATAGTGGTTCTATAAGAGTTCATGACATTGAAACACTTATGTCAAAAGTTTTATATCTTAACTATACAAATGTTTTCAAAGAGGACATAGAAAAATATATTGAGGGTATAGAGTTTGTGAGATGTCATTGGACAGAGTTGTATGAAAAATATAAAGACAAGGAAAATGTTTTCTTATAGTGGACCCGCCGTTCTTTAACACATGGGATTTTCAATACCAAGTAGACTGGACTTTGAGAGACTCTTTAGAAACTTTAGACGTTATACATAACCATCCATGCTTTTACTTTACATCCGATAAAAGTGGTTTGGAAACCGTTATGAGATGGTTAGAGGACATACATGACTATGAGTTTATATATGACAAGATAGAATATGAGAGAGGTCCTATAAACTGGAGAAAGTGTCACAATAAAGAAATTTTATTAGTAAGTAAATGTGGTTTGAAATAGGACTACTTGTTTTAGGTTTTTTCCATTGTGTCATTTATTTATTTGACGTGGCAGAAAAGTACAGAGAATATGAAGATGAACCAATGCCTGCAAATGTTCAGCATATGTACTCGTAAGAGATATTTTTATCTAATATTAAATGGACGCACAGAACTTAGCGAATGCACAGCAACCTGGACAACCAAACCCAGAGAATATTCCAAATGAAGTTAGAATACAAACTGCAATGGCAAACTATGGTCAAGTGCCAACAGATGTACAAATGCAAACTGCCATGTCAAATGACGCTGCGTTAGGTTTGCCACCATGGTATGCAAATATGAGATGGAAAGAGTTTTATACAAACCCTGAAGTGGGATATAAACAACTTTATGCAGATGACGCGAACACAGGAGTTGACCCAGAATATGTTTTCTACCAGAGGAGAAACAGAATGTATGAGCTCCAGTTAAAGAATGCTATGGAACTCAACAGGAAACGTAAGAGACTAGGCGGACATTAGATTTTTACATATAGTAAAATGGGTTTCTTCAGTAGTATTGGAAACTTCTTCAGAAGAGTTGGAAGAGGTATATGGAATGGAATAAAAACCGTAGGAAGAGGAATTTGGAACGGAGTCAAAAATATTGGTAAAAGAGTAGGTCAGTTTGTTGGTATTATACCTAAAGACCCTGAACCAGAAGAACAAGCTCCTGTTATACAACAGCCTGAACCTGCACCACAGTCTAGTTGGCAACCAAATCCAACACCTCAACCGTATTAAAAAATTATATTTTTACCGTTCGATAGTAGTTGTATATGAAACTAAGTTCTAAGTAAAACGCATGGTATAATGGAATTATTCTTTTTCTTCCATCTGTAGTAAACCATACTTGAAAGTCTGAAATACTTCCACTTGGTGGTTCGTATAACTTTGTAGGTTTTTCGTAAAAGTCATTTGCCAAGCATAAGAAAGAGTTTTGGGCGCCAGAAAATGAAGCATGAACAATAATAGCAGCTGGGTCGAAAACATCTTTAAATAAATATGGTTCATCTCTTGCATATCGACTGTAAATATTTGCTAAAGGAAGTTCGACTTTCTGATTTAACATTCTTTGCAAATAATACCATGACATTGCAGTGAATTCTGTATATATTTGTTCGTCTTTATTTGGATTGTTTTCGTAGATTTGAAATGACACTTGTGAATTTTGTTTGTCATATACAATTCTCACATAAAGTGTGCTCTCGGTATTTGCATATTCATCAGCATATTTTGCATAACATGAATTTATTTTATCTTCTATATTTTTTAACGCAGTCTGTAGAGAAGATGAAAGGTCAACTTGTATTAGCTCAATTTCTTCCCACATTTTTCGTTTCCCTTCAGATATATAATCTATATGAAACCTTACAATAAATGGAAAACTTTTATCTTCTACAGACACAAACTTCATTCTACGAAAGCCAATAGCTTTTGTGACAGATGGGTCTCTTAGCCATCTTAATGGGTAGTCAAAACGATAGCCTTCATGCTTTACGGTCTCTGTCTCAAACTTTTGACCGACATTAGTAAAAAGTTCATCTAATGGTTTAGTTGTAGCAACTCTTGAATTTTCTTTTTCTATTGGAAGCATATTTTATCTAGAATAAAAATGTCAAATGAAACAGCGTCTATGAGAGAAATACAACACAACCGACAACTCATTATGCAAGCTCTAAATAAGAACACAACAAACTTTTCAAACTATTCTAAGATATCTGAGTCATTGAAAGAAGGAAACTTAAAACTGACATTAAACCCAATGACAGATGAGTTTCTGTTTCAAGACAAGAAGAACAATACTGTCTGTATAAATCCAACAAAAGGAACTTTAAACGAGAAACCTATAAATGAACTTCTTTTGAAAGCAGATGTTGACAACAAAGCTGACAAAGAATATGTAGACGATGCAATAGCAAAAGAAGAAGAAAGAGCTAACAATGCTTATGCAACAAAAGAACATACTCATCCTGAACTAGCAGACAAAACATATGTTGACAATAAAATGTCAAGTGAAGTGACAAGAGCTGAAAACGAATATTCTAAAAAGACTCATACACATTCTATATCTGAAATAACAGACTTAAACGTTAGCCTTGAAAATAAGGTAGATAAGGGACTTATGGCTAGTGTGTTAGTGAAGAAGGCGGATAAGGAATATGTGGATGAAAAAGATAAAGAAATTATAGAAAGGGTTGACTGGTACCATGAACGGACATCAAAGATTTTAAAAACTAAAGCCGATACAGGATGGGTTTCAGGATGTTTAGACCTTAAAGCAGATAAAACTTATGTTAACGATGAGTTAGAGAAGAAAGCAGACAAGAACCATACACATACAAGTTTTACAACTGTTGCTATAGAAAGTATTGAAGGAACGGTTGAAGAAACTGGTGGGGATGCAATATATTGTAAACCTCCTAACTTTCCACAAGGTTTAACATCGGATGACGACATAACGACGATGAGAAACATTAGATGTAAAGATGTTTATGTCATGAAGGATGAATATAATACTAAATTCACTGCTCAAGATTTATATGACAAGAAGGCTGACAAAACAGAGCTTCAAACATTAAAGACAGAAATGCTTCAAACATTATATCCTATAGGCTCTATTTATACGTCAATGAACTCAACAAATCCAGAAACAGTTCTGGGTTTTGGAACTTGGACTCAAATAGTTGACAGGTTTTTGTATTGTGCAAACTCTTCAAAGGAAACAGGAGGAAGTAAAACGATTTCAGGTGAAAATTTACCTGCGCACAGTCACTACATAGATTTAAGTACATCTCAAGCAGGTTGGCATAAGCATAAATTTTGGGATTGGTCAGCAATGAAAAAAGGTAAAGGATATGATGTTAAAGACGACGTTCAGTTTGCTATAAATTGTTTCTGGGGTGACACTCAGGGAGATGGAAACCATACACATCGCGTTTCGGGATATACGCAAACAACGGGACAAAGTAAAGAATACATGCCACCTTACATGACAGTTTACGCATGGTATAGAATTGCTTAGTCGTCATTTTCAACTTCTTTAGCATATTGGTCAGGAGTTGTCTTATATTTGTTAGGAACTGTCTTTGAAAGTATACCACCTTGAACTTTGACAAGTTTGAAACGAGGTCTGACAATAGTAGTTTTATCTTCTGCTTGCAGTGTGTACATTTTGCCATGTTTGCCTAAAACTTCATAATATTCTCTTGTATACTTTCTTCTATTTTTACGAACACGAATGTGAGTACCTGTCGGGTTCCCATTGTTGTCATAGTCAATAGTATTTTCATATGGGTCGCGTTTAGGTATTTCTATTTT